TGAACATAATTAAACATAACTTATTCAAATAAGGACCTCATTTGCATAATTTATGAGAAAATGTCATCATGGCATTCTTTGTTAAGATAAGACTGTCTTTTGGTGGAGAATATGATCAACAGATATAATTCATGCAATTGAGGATCCTATTTGCATAATTAGGGGGATTAATATATAATTTCTTAATCATAAAAGCTAACATCATTTGGCGAAGGTATGAGATCGTGGAACTCTAGTTGGTGGTCCTTTGGATGATTTTATATGCAAGGTTGACAGACTCACTGGTTTAGAAATTTTCCTTCAAAAACTTTTGCTGGCTACAGCCCTGGTCGACAACTCCTGACAGTGATAGCCACCCCTTGATAAGTTGATTCATACCAACCTAGTACTCAAGTCTGTTGACATAGGCTATTAGCTATTACCAAACTGCCATGCCATTCTTACGCATTTGTACATGTATTAGAACACAATAGTAGACTAGTAGTAATGGTAATAGTAGTAGTAATACAATGCCTTGCGCAGTGTAACCAGTAACTGTAACACTAACAGTACTCTGGTAGAAGCTATTGTACTGAAAGCAGTTTATACTGTTGTGACATGTGACTGCCTCATTTCACCAGTGGACATAACAGCATTTCTTTACAGTACACACAGCTCAAGAGCAGCCTTGCTTTGGATGTAAATGCTTTACTGTAATAGCCCTGGCACCAGTTCTGTGGCCTATTTGTCACAGGAGACAGCTATTCTAGCAGAACAAATCCTCCTCATTTCATCCCACTAACACAGTTTAGAGAAGCTTCACTTGTTTACAAGAGACTGAGGGAACATCTGCTTCTCTTGGCATGTTATTCTTAGGACTTCCTTTGGAGATGGGTATGAAAACAAACCTACCAAAGGACATGTTAATGGGACATTCTCTAACTGTTGTTTTGTGTATTCAAGGACAAAACCAAACTTCTCATAACATTACTGCCAAAATATGCGAACTTGGAATGTTCCCAGCTATTCCAGACTAGCATGGGACACTACTGAGGCAAACCTTCACATTCCAAACTGTATGTTTTTTTTCAAAACAAAAACACAGTGGATGGTCAACATCCTTCTAGTAGGTCTAGTAGGTTCTACACCCAAATGTACATGGCCAAACCAATTTAATTTGTTGCTTCTTGGATTTTTTTCAGACGAAATATGAAGCGACAAGGGAAAAAAATAAAAAACAAAAACAAACAATCCTCTTATAGCCCCAAAAGCCATGATAGGAGCAATGACATCAACATTTTTATAAAACCAATGCATTGATAGATGGAAAAACTGTAACAACTCAGAAGGCAAGGAGCTTTCTTCAACTGTTTGGACCAAAATATGAGCATAAATTTTTGAGTTGATTCAGAACCTGAATCTTTTTTTTTTTGGCAAAGGGCAAAGCCAAAGGACCAACTGAAAATGAAGCGGGCAAATCTGAGAACCAATTAATTACATTGGTATGGCCCATACTGATATTGAAATGTATGTCATATCATATCAAATTTACTACCTTTTATCCTTTGCACAAACACTGGTTGTTCCAAACAAGTAGTAAAACACATCCTCAAATATGAAAATTCCCCATGCTCTACAGTAAGGGCCAATACAACACATCTACTTCAATTATGCTGCAATATAGCATGTAAAATGAAATCAAAGCTGTCATCAGAACTGCACTAACCTTGTTACAGTTTCATTGATGAATAGCCTGTTCTCAATAATCCTTATGCATACCAGATCTTGTCTAATCTTGTTTGTGGTCAGACTGTCTAGCATACTGTAAATCACTTAATGTTTGCATTAGCAAAAATTCGCAGTCTGAGAAAAATGGAGGTGTTTGAAGAACTATATGTTCACAGTGGCAGTGGATGGAGAAAAAAGAATTTGGCAAATTATTTGTTCTCAGGAATGATAAATTCGCGGTACAGAAGTGGCTGTTAAAAACGCAAACAGAAAATTACCGTGAAAAAGTCAGGAATTACAGTAATCAACAGGGCAGCCGGAGGCAGGGGAAGTGGCAGGCATGCCGGGCTTCACAACAACAAAAACAACAAACAGTACAACAATATCAACTGCACAAACATGTGGAAGGTAAACATACGTCCAAAATAGCTGTCCAAACTTATAAATGTACATGCACTAACCAAGGAATTATGTACAGTAAATGCGTTGATTTCGCCTGAAAAGCATGATTTAGGACTTAAAACACGCACTTCTGCATAACTGTACCAAAATAATAATCATTCAGGAACAGACACTACAAAAACAAGTATCAAAGGGTTTCTATTTGAAGCTCCTGGCACCAACACACCCTAAAACGTTTAATGTGTTTCTTTCATTGATTCACTAGCACTTAGCACAGACAATTTTCTACCCTAGGCAAAAAGAAAACCATACGACATCCGCTCATTCAATCCTCGCTATCTCTACCACAGAGAAGTCTATCTGAACACTGGATTGTAGACTTCCTTGATACCGTGGGCTGTCTTATCTCCAAAAGGCTGGACTAATATGGAGACGCTGGCTTCCTCAATGAGACTGGGCAACATGTCAGTGCCCCTGAACTCCAGACGGAAGTGGGCAACAACTCTTCCTGCTACATGCTGTCTTCCTCCAAGTCAAAATACTGTTACGCCCTGCCCTCACTGTTATTATCAGATCTAAAAGGACTAGCTAGGTCTTAGCCTCTACCAGGCTTCAGGAGGTGGCAGCAAAATGTCTCTCTCTGGCAGACCAACTCCCCTGGCATGTTATCTCCCTATTTGGCCAATTTCTAGTCTTTCCAGCCGCCTCCTGAAGCCTGGTAGAGGCTAGCTGGGTGTAAGAATGTCTAATGTCCAGGAGGATTCTTGGCATGGCTTGTAGTATAGTCATAGTGCCTTATACACAAGAGAAATAGGGACAGGGAAACCCCCTCCCTTTTCCTTCCTATCCCATAGCACAGTACTCCCTCCACATATAAGGAAGTCGGTTGGCATTCGTCATAAAACTGACGACGCAACATTTATTTCCTTGTAGTTGTTGTACTGTTGTTGTATTCCTAACCATCCCACAAAGGCAGTTGACAATCATGTTAAATTCAAACCTGGTTCCATAAAACAAGAAACAAATTTAGAACGGGAACAATGGCCCTTTTGCACAGATTAGTTCCGGATTTTGTGTGGGTGTCCCCAGCGATTCTCTGGAAAATAATAGCCTCCACGGGCCATTATCTGCAAAATTTGGCTGGGAGAGTTTTACCCATAACCCAGCAGCGCATGAAATCCTGCTGTTCACCTTTATTCATATTTTAATAGGCTCCATTGACAGGGAAATCTGAATACAATAGGGAATCGTGGAGGGCAAAACTGACAGTGACACCACCAAGGCACATTTCCCTTTGGTCCTTTCGTAATGTGGGCCTGATCTACAGTGATATGGGCTGGGATATTTTCCTTTCCAAACCTCAATATTTGATGTTTACCACCAGTTTCTGTATCTGTATCTGTACAACTAGTCTGGGGCCTATAACTGTATATCAGACAACATCAAAAACACGTTGACAGAGAACTAGGTACTAGTATATGACCTCCTTTGGTCAGTAATGTCCATTGTAAAATCCTCCTTCCGAAAATAGTTTCATCAGGCTGGTAGAGTATATGTTATAGGGGTTTTATTTTACACAACCAATATTGTTTCTTACCTTGCTTACGTTTCAGTGTCTATCAGACACCTTCCTTAGAGCTTCTGACTACAATCAAAATTAAACTGACAATTCTCAATTTCACTAACAACTACTAGTATCTACTGACATTCGACATGCTATCTTCTCATAATAATCACAACAATGCATGATTCTTCAAATGTATTTAACAGTTTACAGGTCTAAACATTTTAATAGTGGACTAAGTAATAAAATCATAACCTAATGCCATGCACGATTTACCATACATACATAACGTTGGTTATAGCTAAAGCATGGTACTAGTACATGTACTACCCACTACCCACAACATTCCCCTTCTCCTAATGCTACAAAAATGGGAGGGAAGCAATCAATCTAGTGTCTGATCTAGTTAGTATAACACCCCAGCAGGGAGCCTGGACATGGCATTGGGCCGGCATTTGTGGTATTTTCAAAATGCCTGCCAACTTCAAAGTCATGACAAGTTCGCTGGGTCACTTCTATCAACTTCAAGTGCACTTGATCCACTTTCTCTTTCTCTTTTGATTTCAACAATTACATCACGATTTCTGGAGTGTCAAAAAAACGAAACCACGTTACAAGAACTCTAGAGTTAGGTTACAGTATGGTTCTGTAAAGCTATTATTGCAATTTATGACGACGTGTGGGTTACAACAATACATGGTCATGTTTGTTTAGTCTGTGTGAACTAGGAGTTCATACCGACTGAAACCAACGGATTCGTACCGAAGTGTCGCCTTACTCTCAACACTTTCCACATGGGATTTACATACGAAAGGGCCTCTGATCATTAATTAGCTGCATTCCTACACACACAAAGCAACAAGTTTGGTAGGAAACATTTTTTTCTGTCTTGAGTGACAGACACAGGTGTGGGAGCAAACAGTGGTGGTTTTGGGAGGGACGTCCGAAAATCCTTCCTCCGACAGACCTCCCACTGCCAGCCAAAGACTTGCTACAAAATCTCAAGTTACGCAGTCAAAAGCTGGCCAGCTGGAACTGAGAAAATATCGGACAGAAGTCCTACGGATACACAGAACACAGGGACGGGTAGGGCTGCATGCGGCGCATACAAAGTAGATCGGAGAGACTTCGATGAAAGAGAACTGAACTTCTTCTGTTACGTGGTCAGAAAAGTGAACGGAACTGGGGAGTCTTTCTACACGGTGATCGCAGCCTTCGTAAGACCGGGAAGAACTTGGTTATAACAGCTGATATAGATATATATTACGTGGGGTTACTTGCGTGTGGCCTGTGTTAAATAGTGGACATTTTGGTGGGTGGGACTCACCTTTGACTTGGGTCTCAAACTCCACCAAAATTTCCTTCTCTCTCTTCCTGTCCGTCATGCCTGCGACGAGCAACAACCTTCCGTTTCTGTCGCCAAAATACTGCCGAAAGTCGATCAGAATGTCATCCCCGAACACCCCAAGTCGGAGACGCGGTCTTGTACTGTTGTCTTGCCCGCTCGGAAGGGCCTCCCTGTGGCAGTAAGATCTGTTGCTAGTGTTTTAGAAGAAACATTGATGAATCCCAGGCGCCGCGCTCCCAACAAAATCAAAATTTCATGCACAAGTACACTACGCGCACGGCATGATGGGAACTGGGAGGTCCCGATAACCTCTGACCTACATCAGCAGGTGACGTCACATTTAAATGTCCCATCTGATATCATTAGTCACCGGGTAACAGCCAATGGGCAACAAGATAACAAGCAAACGGACCAATCAGAGCCGCTGTTCTATTTTTAAATCACCTGACGCTACCCTCAGACGACAGTTCGTCATCGTGTTGTTCGAGGAGGGAGAGTTTGTGTGTTTTGCCCGATATCTGTCACAGTTTTTGCCAAATTCGCAATCTTTGCATCCAGAATATTTAAAGGAAGACATCAAAGATCTAAAGATGCCACAGAAGAGAGATTTACACCCGACTTTCGCCAAGAAACGTGTACTAGAACTGGAGTGCAGATACTGCCTGAGCTTCCTGTGTGGCAGAGGAATGAGGGCCATTTTGTTGGCAGACACCAATATTGAACTGTACTCCACAGACCTTCCCCCTGGAGAGTAAGTAATCGTCCAGTTCATTACTCTTGTAAGCCGTTGTTTTACAAATGTGGGCCTTAGTTGGGCTAGGCTGGATTTGTAGTGCTGTAACCGTGCCTAACTTGTTTTTGTCACGATCAAGGCCTTCTGTGGCTTCCGGGTTTTTGTTTTGACCAAGAAAGAGTACTCACTAGTCATAAGCCACGTTCCCAGAAGTTATGACGAATCAGGAAATGCAAAATCAACAAATGGAAGCAAAAACCATGCCAAAAATATGTCATAATTTTTAGATATCGGTAACTGCATATCAGAAAACGGACACTGATACTGAAAACGAAAGAGGATGTGTATGTAATTGTTTCAACAAGCCCCGAAAAACTGGTTTCGACTGGCTTTGAAACCATAATTTTGCCACTCTAGGTCTATTCAGTCCCACTTGTGTTGACAGTTTTGAATGGACAGCTGACCACACGTTGTGAAATGTGGTGAAATACGTCACTTGAAATTGACAGCTGTGTGTGAGAGAAAATATGCAAATTAACTGTCCCAGATTGTTTATCAGACCTTGCTTACTGACGTCATTGGGGACAAACTGTTGTTTTGAAGGACACATTTGTGATTGTACTCCTGACAGTACTTTCACTGTTTGGAAGTATTTTTTTACACAAAATAAATGGTATTCACGTACTGTGATTCACTTTATGTTCATGGAAGCAAAAGTTTGCGGTCTGAGCAAAATGGACATGTTCATGGAACTATATGTTAACAGTGTCGACAGGTGCAGAAAAAAGGAAGTCAAGCCAAGGAATTATTTGTTACTTTAACACAGTAATGATAAGTTTTCAGTACAGAAGTGACCACGAATATTGCAAAATAAAAATTGCTATGTGAAAGTGACATGAAAAAAATCAGGAATTACAGTATGTTATGTGATTGAGGTAATGTTTTCAAGACTGTCATTTTATTTCTTGTGAACTTCTGTCAGTAAATGTGGTTTTTATTTTCATTTTCCAGCACAATTGAGCTTGTAGGGAGCACATATACAACAGAGAACTGTGACTGCAAGATTAAGGATATAGCCTGTATCACATGGTAAGTACTGCAGCAGGAGAAAACCAACAATTTTTATACTTATGAAGCAAGTTTAAACTGTAATTTCCAACACAACAAATTGAACTCCCCCAATTTTTTTTACTAAAAAACTCCAGTCTTTGTCAAGGAATGAGCAATCCACCGCTTCCGTGACGTCACGCAGATAACACACGTGACTCCGTGAGCAGTGGATCATAGGTTGCAGAAAGTCTGTGGCGCCCCCTGTCTCTGTTGAGGGATGGTTGTAATGCCCTGATGTAGATGGCCCCTTTAATCCCTCGTGCAAAGAAGTCCAGTTCTGAGTCCAAGATTCTTACTTTGTGTGATAATAATGATTTCTACCAACACAGATGAACTTTCAAGATAACAATTTTTATAGTTTCTATTCACTTACCTGAGCATGACATCATTGTTTACATTTCCTTAAAACTCTGTTGACAAGATTCTCATAGTATGTTGTTGTTGATGATGAATAATTAGAATTAAACATAATTTTAGATCTGTGCCAACCTTATTAATAAAAGAAGGATGCAAATACATTTGCAAATAGCTGTAAACAGAATAAATAAATAGACAGATAAATAAATAAACAGAAAAAATGAACTATGCAATTTGCAAAATTTACACATTATGAATATGATCATAATAATAGTGAGTGAGTGAATGATGATCACTGTAGCCTTCCTTGTCACATTCATCTTGCTTACCTTTTGGTCAAAGTGTCTTATATAGTAGAGGGGATTCATTCCTCAAGCTCAAGACTCATTCCTTTTGGTCAAAGTGTCTTCTTTAAAAGAACTGTCCTTGGTCAGTGTATGTCAGTACACAAAGCAACAGGAGAAACCAAAGAAAAGTCTAATGTCAACTTATGTCAATATCCAACCATACCATTATATCTTGCTCATTCAAAAATAATCTCACATGGTAATATCCTAGTCATTAGGAAAGGAAGACCACTTGAAAAGGCAAAAGCATATTGTAGCAGTAATGTACAAGTTACTGGTACACATAGCGTCTACCAGGCTTCAGGAAGTGGATGGAAAGAGAAGAAATTGGGCAAATAGACAGGTGAGTTGGTCCTTGCTAAGACTGTAGTAAGAGAACAGTTTGCCACAACCATTTGATCATAGTGACCCCTGATAGCAGCAAACTGTTCTCTTAGCATGGACCAACTCCCTGTATATTATCTGTCTGTTTGGCCAGTTTCTACTCTTTCCGTCCACTTCCCAAAGCCTGGTAGAGGCTGGTATACACACAGGAATTTGTACTTGTTCACTCTTTTGACTTTGGTATGACATAGCATGTTTACAAGTGTTTTGTCATACGCACTAAGTCAGGTCATATGGACTATTCAGGGTAATGGGTTTCAAAATAAACCGATAAACTCATCCAGCACAAGGGCTTGGTCAAGGTCGATAAGAGAGGGTGCTGCCAACCTTGGCAGAGACTCACTGCCTTCAATAAAAAGTCTATATATAGCCGCTGGCTGAAACCCGATCTCAGTGATAGCTTTGGCCTCACACATCTTGCCTTATCTCAGTACAGAAGGTGTTGTTAAATCTGATCTAGCTGTGGGTGTACGGTTACTGGGATATATTTTCATAGGTTGTGAGAAAGCCTTGGCTTGGAGTATGACAATGGCAAACTGTACTGTAGTGCTTACAGGAGGGAAAATAGGGTTTCAAACCCTGTCTATTCACTTTGAACTCTGTACTACATGTACATGTATGCAAGAGATGGTAAAAAAATAGCTGGGCCAATGGGTCATGGCCATATAAATACTACAGACCCCATTCCTGCAATCTAAAATAGATCTGTGTACTAAATGCATTTCTGGTTGTCAAGCTTGTCAGAATATCTTCACAGTTGATATACTGTATACTATGGAGCTCCCCATTCTTCAAGTACATTGTGTTAAAGTGGCGTTACGTAACATAGTTGGACCAAAAAAGAGAAATATTATAATTTAAAAAATCATTGTAATGTACATGTAATCTGTATATCCCTTTTCAACATATTTGTGCAATTATCTGACATTTCTGGTTGACGCTAAAACAGCCCACACGAGGCACGCTCAGTTTGTGGTGCCACCACAAAATACAAGAACGCAAACAAACATGGCACATCTGTGTTTCAAGCTTTTAAACAAACTTGTAAGGTGTCATATTTTGGCAATAATTGCCAAAGTATGACACCTTACGAATTGGGTAGGATTGATTCAACTTGATTTACTTTACTTTTTTTATTATGATCCTAATACATGTATTACATAATGCAGCTTTAATAATGCTATATTTTCTTCCTCCTCAGTGGCAACACAGTTGGGTACCATGTGATCCTGCCCTGTAGATCCTGTCTACAGTCCTGTAACAACGGACACTTCTGGATGTTCCACAGCAGCTCATCTGCTGCTACAGAACGGGTGGATGGAACAGGTAAATACTCACCCGGTCTAGTCCAATCAACACGTCGGCAGAACGTACTGCACCTGCGTGAAACCTGTAAATGTATTGTGCATAGCACTTCAGCAGAACGTCTCATATAAGGTTGTATTCGTATATATAAGGTCAACATCCCATCTGTAGTTTCCGAATGTTTTGTCGGAAAAGATGTCCTCTGCAACAGGCAAAGTTCTGATGCAACGTTGACCAAAAATCCAATAGAAACCATGAAAAATGGGGGTTTTGCACAGGCGCAGTATGTTCAATTTCATACTCCTCATGTAAAAGGACTCATTTAATTAAGTTGATATGGTTATATGGATGACATCCTCTGCGAACTGATGCGAGACTGATTTAAGAAAAATGTTGAAAAAGAAAAAGTTGCATTGATTATGAACCTACATGGTCATGAAGGTTGAACAAATGGCAGATAATAGACTCTTCATTTTCACTTCTTTGCATTTTCCCCTTTCCTTTGGAATTGCTTTTGGCATTCTATGTCATTATTTAATATCGTTTTCCATTTTTTTTGCAGCTATGGCATATATTTGCTCATTTTGCAGCTGCTTATACGATTTACAGTATGGTTGAAAACAGACAAAAATTCACGTCATCCATATAATCAAATTAACATGGCCTTAGTTACTAGTACAACTCATCATCATAATTAATACGACAACATGATAGCCAAATAAGGGTAATACATTGTACCATTTCACAAGTTGAGGATTTTCTATTACATTTTGTACCAGTAGTACTTTCTCTGAGGTAAAACTCTTAGCCTTACACTTTTATGTGGAAAAAAAGGATCTTTCCACAAAATTTAGGTATGAAAGGAATATACATGTTGTACTAGTAGATGCATGGATTGATGCACAATTTTTATAATGATGATACTGGTACATTTAAGTTCATGTGTTAACGTTTTTGTTTGTTTGTTTGTTTGTTTACTTAGGTGCCCAGGTGTTGACCTGGGGAGATCTTTGCGACACTGAGGATGATGTAGGCATGCAGTTCCCCTTTGAAGAATGTGACAGATAAAGGAAGAAAAAAAAACAGTATACCATAATAACACATATGGCAAATATCACGTCTTTCCACAAAATACATGCACATGTATCACATCTTGAATCCAGTATACTTTTCTACAATGGAAAGTAGCATTTTCATGTTTAGTGTCTTTTCTATTTGATAGCAAGGTGTATCATTCAGTCTTCTGGTGAAAATTCGTAGTTGGACAACATGTTACAATTTGCCTACATATTACAACTAATATGAGGACGGCTGAAAACAGCTTCCAGCATTGAGGAAATTTTATATCATTTTTAATTTCAGGTTACAAACTATTGTACAAATTAATGTGAGGATCTTAAAGTTGTTTCGTTTGGTTAAAAGGTGAATTTTAAAGTTAAAGCTGATAATAATTTGTCAGAATCTTTATATGTATTGAGCATAAAATATCAGCATGTTCTTAGCAACTGTATTGTACAGTTTGGTGAATTGCTGAAATGTTTAAGACATTTTGATGTAGAACGATATACAACTATGCCAGATACCTTTCCTTTTCATATTAATGTATCTTATGGGATTTTTTAACTGTCAAGATCATGTATATGCAAATATCTCATAATTTATTGGAAAGAATTTCCATATTTTGCTAAATATGACTATGTAAATAGTGTATAAATAAATGTGGCAATGGGTGCATATATAAATTCTCTATGGAAGGGAAGTTTTTATTAAGAGTTTAACACTTATTTTTATTTCAATACAAATTGATGTTTAAGTTATCTGTCGTTGCCATAACTTAAAAGAAGGTTTTGGAACATTGAGATCTGTAGTCTAGTGTAGGAGTACAATCAATATCTAAAAATTAACATTCAAAACTTTTCCTGTAACAAAAAAAAAGTAATTTTTCTCTTGAAAAAAGAAAACATTACTGCTACCATATTTGATATGAAATTTGACTCCAGATCTTCATGATCCAAAATCTTATAGAACTTGCAAACACCAGTGAAAAGATGTAGCAAACTAGATCTATCTCCTTTCTGTACCTTTCTTTCTCTTTATTACCTTCGCCAAGAAGGTTATGTTTTCAGTGGCGTTCGTGTATGTGTGTGTGTGTGTGTCTGTCTGTCTGTAAACACGATAACTTGAGAAGGCTTAAATGGATTGACTTCATATTTGGTAGGTGGGTAGGTCTTGATGAGACCTAGAAATGATTAGATTTTGGGCCCCCTAGCGGCTTCTAATGGTACTGCAGCTGAACTTCCGGTTTTGATATCTCATGATCTGGACGTGCTGGGGTGACGAAATTTGGATGGTAGGTAGGCCTTGTGCTCGGGAAGAAGTGACATAGGTTTGGGCCCCATAGCAGCTTGCTCAGGAACTGCAGGGACATTTCTTTGAAAATATTCAAAACAGGATAACTCAAGAACCGGTGGACGGATCTTCATGATTTTTGGTATGTAGGTAGCTTATGCGACGCTTGATATAATTATGTGCCAATTATGCAAATCTGGATGTAATTTGCATAATTAATGAGGAAATTCTATAAATCAGCTGCATTACATTATAGGACTATTCAATCTTGTGACATATGTAATTGAGAACGAGAGAAACACAGGCAGATATTAATTATGTAAATTAACACTTAATTTGCATAATTAATGAGAAAATGTTATAATTCCATAATGGTTACTGCCTGGAATTTCATACTTGGGGTATTTAAAAGTTAAGTGAACCTGAACATCATTAAACATAACTTATTCAAATAAGGACCTCATTTGCATAATTTATGAGGAAATGATAGAATGGCTTTCTTTTGATGGAGAATATGATCAACTGATATAATTCATGCAAATTAGGATGCTATTTGCATCATCAGGAGGAATCATCTTTGTCAGTCATAAAGATTAACATCATTTGGCGAAGGTATGAGATCGTGGGACTCTAGTTTTAACAAATGCTGATAGCTAGTGTTCTGTTGTATGTGCCTTTTACACATGGGAGATGATGGAAGACATCTATCACCTATTGCTAACTTCTCCATTTAATAAACATGAATAAACACTGGTGTACATGCAGAACCTATTGTTTTATAGTCACAACTTTGTGTGTTTTGATTAAAAGCTATGGAAACATGGAATATCTTTTATAACAGAGACTGATGCCATACCTAGCCTGGGTACCATCCCCAGTAGTATATTCGCAAACTCTATAACTGGGTCTGGACTTGCACACATATAAAACGATTGGTCATGACGTCACGTAATGAGCTAGCCCGATCAGCGGGGCTTCATTTGATTGGCTGAGCCTCAGAGGCGACGGCCAATGGCGCGCCTGCATTATTCAAGTGATGTTTGTTGTTTTGTAAACACAGATCTTCGCGCGAGTGTTCCTTTTCTCGGCGCGTTCTTTTTTTTACCGGTAGGACGCCCAAAACATCACGAACGAAATTATTCAATGCATCTTTTTGCTCATTTTTGAGCGACGATATTCCGTCTAAATCGTCCAAAACGGACGTGATTGCGAGGTCAACATCAACCTCCGTGAGCTGAGCGGCTTGTGCGTCAGCCATGTTGATGATTTATCGCGGAAAGACTGACTACGGCTATATCATGTGCGCTTTAGCGTTCGGTTCGCCGTCGGACATGTTGATGATAAGGCGTTCGGACGTTCGAACGGACGCTAACGTCGCCGTTCGGCCCTTACCTAATATGTACACACCCAAAAAAGGGCTTAGACGAGTAGGACCAATCAGCGCGCTCGTTCAAAATCTGAACGAATATTTAGACTCCAGACGCTACATATGTGTGCAAGTCCAGACCCAGTTATAGAGTTTGCGAATATACTACTGGGGATGGTACCCAGGCTATGCCATACCAGGAGTGCAAGTACAAATGTACTAGAAATGGTACAAAAGCGCCACCTAGGAGCCCTTAGTAAAATTGCAGGTAGTCACTTGTTATCATTGTCTTGAGCAAAATAAATATATTACTGGTGAAATGACAACACAATAATCAAGATGAGATCTAGTGTGATGGACTGTACATGTGATGCATTAGAGAAAAATCAGTTGTTAAGGCCACACCAATCTAATTTGTTGTTTATCGGATTTTTTCAGAAAAAATATAAAGTGACTGCGAAATGAAAAAAAAAAAGGCCAAGGCACCCCATGATAGCCAGAAATGTTACAATATCAGCCATGAAGTGAACATACCAGGCTGGTTTATAATTAAAACAATAGATTTTGAACTTTAAATGAAACAAAATTGCATTGTTACATTGAGAAGCTTTAAGAACTAGGAAGAAAAGGACTTTCTTCAACCATTGGGGCCAAAATATGTCTTTAATTGAGCATTTTGCGGTTAATTTAGAACCCAAAAAAAATTTTTGGGGGGCAAATCAGAAAAAAAAGGACAGGGTGATCCGAGAAGCAACAAATTAAATTGGTGTGGCCTAACCAGTTATAAAAGACAACAATTTAAAATCTACATACACGTGTACATAGTACACGTGCCATAGAATTCAGAATTATTATTAGATTGCAACATTTCAACAGTTCCTTTTTAACAGCATGAACAATGTTGTTTACATGATCCTAGAAAACATTTTAGCTTTTAAGGAACTACTCTCAACAACTACTACATGTCACATTGCAACAACTGAGACTCTTGATACTTTGACAGTAGTTTTACTATGACATGTTTCTAAAACTGTTATGCGGACACATTTTCTACAAGTCTAAAATAGATATCATTTAGCAACAAAAATAAAATTCTATGCATAAGTTAAAATGACTTACACTGCCATGGCAAATAAAATACTCTAGTAGCTTGTTATTCAAGCCAAGACATGATAGAGGACAAACTTGCTAAAATTAAGACATTAAGATCTCTTATTCTAAAACTAGCTACATGTAATTGGTGGCAACTGGTTTACCCTTTTACCCAGGGCTCGAAATTCATTTTGGGAAAAGGTGCACTGGTGCACCCAACCTAAAAAATTAGGTGCACAAAAAATTTTCTGGGTGCACCATATAAAACAAAACCTAATTACAGATCTTTACTGCTCCTCTTCTGAGCTTGAATCTAAGCTAGCTTCAAAATCCTAAACAAAGAATTTATTATTTTTATGACAATTAGATGCCAAGACTATCCTGTATACTATCATACATTTCATATGTACAAAAATACCTACAAAAATATTTGGGTGCACCAGTGCACCCACAGAAAAAAAATTGGGTGCACAGCTCTAATTTTGGGTGCACTAAGGTGCACATGCACCCAGTATTTCCAGCCCTGCTCTTACCAGTTGATGCCTAGTTGTTGACAGTGTATTGGCAGACATCATATAGTTTCTTCTGGAATATAGTAAGTACTTCTTAATGCTGTCACCATCCTTATTGCTTCACATAGTGTCCTGGGTGGGTTATATATATGGCTTGAGGTCTTGAAGGTAAACATTGAAACGTTATCTTCAAATATATTCTTTACTCTTCAACCCAGAGAATATCCCAGTACGTCAAGGTTGCTTTTTCTTCGGGAAGAATTTCTGGTTTATTATACGGAGGAACCGATCCTTCATTTTGCCCTTGAACTTGTCGCACCACTCGAGAACTTTTCTTCTCCTGACCACTTTGTCCTGTGGTGACAACATTCTGTGTTCTTCTAAAACTGTCGGAAGTTCGCTCCAGTCTTTTATAAAGATAAAAGGTGGTTTGTGCTGTTTAAGAAGTCTTAGCGGCGCGTTGTTGTATTTTTCGTTGTTGCCACAAGAGCCGGGAGTCATGTTGTCCTCTATGACTGGTATAGAGCCGTATTCGCAGGCTTCGTAGATACGATAACACTCCGTGTTCTGTCCAACAGGGCTCAGGGTTAGGTCACTTTGTAACAGGGCTTTTACGTACTGTTGTCTGGTTTCTGGGGACTCGTCTGGACTCCATCTGAAAACAGGAACAAAACAACTGTAAATCAGGATTTTTTGTAGTACTTCTATATTTGTGTTTTTTTCGTTAACAAATAATTCGCCGACTTTCTTTCTTCTGCACCTGCCGCCACTGTCAACATATATAGTTCCGTGAACATGACCATTTTTCTCAGACCACAAAATTTTGCTACCATGAATATAAAGTCATTTACAGTAAAATATCACAATATCGCAATCTTAAACATGTTTAATGTCGAGACTACGACAAGCTTTGAAGTATCAAGTCACTAATACAATATTTCTACATTGTGATAATCTTCTGACAAATAAATGAAATATAGCAATATAGCACTTCACAATCTTAAGCATCATAAATTTTTGGACTACAACAAGCTTCGAAGTATCAAGTCACTACCGATAATACAATATTTCTACATTGTGATCTTCTAACAAACAAAGTATTGCAATATCGCACTTCACAATCTTTAACATGTTTGATTTCCAGTGTACAACGAGCAACTTGGAACAGTAGAGTCACTATGCTGCTATCAGTTTGCTTAACTTACAACTTACTTCTACTACATTAAAGGAATGACCAGAAAATTAACTTTAAAATTAAAATCCAGTTCTGGCACCCTGAAATTGCACTGGATGCCTTTAAAGACTCCTTGGGCAACACCAATTTAATTTCTTGGTTAACGGATTCGCCCGCTCCATTTTTTTCTGATTTGCAAATAAAAATAAAAATTCAGAACCAACTGCAAAATGCTCATATTTTGCCCTGAACAGTTGAAAATAGTCTTTTTCATCCTAGTTGTTACAGTTATTCCATCTTTCAATGCAATGGTATCATTAAAAGTTCAAAATTCATTGTTTAAATTTTGAACCAGCCTGGTATGTTGACTTCATGGCTCCTATCGTACCATTTTGGGCTATAACAGGATGCCTAGGCCTGTTTTTATTTTTTTTTTCGCCCGCCCGCTCCATTATTTGTCTAGAAAAATCCGTTAACCAAGAAATTAAATTGGTGTGGCCTTGGTAAGAAAGATACAAGTTACTCAGACTGATTGGCAAAAAAAAGACTTACTCCTCTCTTGCCTTGACGAAACATTCCTTCTGCAGGTCCAGTTTGTTGATGACCTCCATGAGTCCCTGTCTGGAGGAGTTGGGGTAGACTGTCCCCACAAAGTTACACAGGTAAGGTCGGATACTGTTCACTGGGAAGTCATCCTTGTCTCTCTTGGGAAACTTACGGTACCTGGAAAACAAACCACACATGGAACAAGAGTCACCAAGAGTATTCTGGAGAGCATGTCCGCAGAATGTACTCCATCTGTGCAAAACCTGTAATGTATTGTACATAGCACTTTGGCAGAACCTCTCATATATATAGCATACAATACGGGGTATTCCGTATCGCCAGAGGTACCAGCCCGACCGCGGGTCAGATCGCTCGAAGGCCAAAGCCGTCGGGCGATCCGACCCCCGGTCGGGCTGGGACCGAGGGTGATGCAGAATACACCGTGTTGTATTTTATTTATGTCATACCCAGTCAAGAAAACACAAATGAGCGAAAATTTGGTGTCCCTAAACCAAAAAATGCAACAACATCAATTTCAACGTCAATTTTGTATTCGAATTTTGAAAGCGGGCCGTACACCCCCGGGCTGTACCCCTAGTTATCACACGGGCCAGAACACCCGTATCGAACGTAAATCGTGGCCCAGGTAGGACATAAAGTATTGTATATAGCACTTTGGCAGAATGTATCATATAAGGTTGTACATGTATAAGGTTAACATCCCATTGTAGTTTCCAAATGTTATGTCCAAAAAAACATCCTCTGATAAATCAGGGTTTCGCGCAGGCACTTTCAAAAACACTAGTACTAAGACGACCACCTACATGTAGGGGACAGAAGAAAAGTGGTCTTATACAAAAAGCATGCCTACAAGACGAGACAGAGAACAAAAGAACCACAGGAAAATTTCCACCCATTTTACTTTTGACCCAAAGTGACCTAGCCTGGGTTCCATCCTGGTAAGTTTACGTCCGCTCTCACAGTTGATACCACTAGCAACTGTAGGAGCGGACGTAAACTAACCAGGATGGAACCCACGCTAAAGTGACCCAGCTGGCTCCATTTTACGTTGCGGAAAGACTGTCATGCTGTCAATATCAATGGCAGACTGGCCAATCCCATCAGGATTTCGTAGCGACCCCCGACAGGCTTTAGGAGAGGCAAACTGTTCTCTTAGCGTGGACCAACTCCTCTGGCATATCTTCTGTCTATTTGGACGATATGTACTCTTTCCAGCTGCTTCCCAAAGCCTGGTAAAGGCTATGAAAGTATATACATGAGAGCATAAACTTACGTTGCCACCCCAAGTGGCCACTGGAACACAACTTCATCATCCACCCACTTGCTGTCATACACCACAAACAGTAGGTCCACCATCCCCCCGTTTCTCTTCAGATATGGTTTGATCCAGTCATTATCACACTGCTCGTTGCCTAGTAGGAAGACCGCCACATTCTGCAGATAGGGGAAGGAGGGTAGGTAGTCCAGCCAGATGGTGGCAAACTCGATCTTGGACTGTTCTCGGCCGTTCAGAACCAGGATGAGGTTTCTGGTGTCGTGTGGCGCCTTACTTGGAATAACTCCCGGTCCTGTGCGGAACCTGTGGTAGGTAACCATAGCAATGGGTATGTCAACACTCAACAAGATGCAATGTAAACTAGAAAGGTAACATTTGCAAAACGAATGCACAATCTACCTTCACATGGTCTTGCTTACTGAACTACTGCTCTGTTTATTGTCACTCAACCAACCACATTCATATACATGGTGAGTAGTAGTAGTCCCTCCAACTCTGTCCTCCTACAAAAATGTGGGGTCATGTGGCGCATCGGCAGCATGCGCGACTCAGAATCAAGAGGTCCCGGGTTCGAGTCCTGACATGCCACCAATCTTGTGCCATTAGGAAAGGCACTTTACACGACTTTCCCCACTAGACTGAAGTGAAAATGAGTATTGTCTGTCCAGTATTCTTTCTATGTGCGGGACACAACACCAGCAACAGCTGCCTCTGTTCCACATGTATTGCACTGTTGCAATTTCAATATATCAAAATCAAATCAAATGTACATAATGTAACCTGACACCACAGGGTGTCTGCTACAGCATCAGTTACCATGGTGACAGACATCTGGTCCAGGTCATTGATCTTATTGAGTTATTTGTTTGGAGAAGAAGAAGAAGAAGAGGAAGACACTGAGCAAAAACAGTATTTTTTTTGTTTCTGCAAAGGTAAACATAACAAAACAAGTGTTCACAGGAAATGTGAGGAAAGTGCTAACTGTGTAACACTCACTTGAACTTCAATTTGTAGATTCTCTTGAAACCATAAGTCCAGATTCCTCCCATTTTTTCCTCCAGGGTGCCTCCTAAGATAAACTCCCAGAGGTAGAGACCTACAGAAAGACAAACACAGGGCTTAGTTACTGATATTAAATCTTCTCAACTACTGCTAAGTCAAGTAAGTACTACTAAAAGAGATGTATTTCATCAGGCACAATCTTTCCTTGGTTAGCAAGACAAAAATTGTCCAAGAGCTGAAAAGTTACTAGATAACACATACTAGTACTACATGTCTCCAGCTCTGTGAACTAAACCCTCTTTTTGAATTACAGTTCTGCGACTTGGTAAAAGTCAGTCCCAATCCCATCTGCTCAGCAGGCTTCTTCTGCTCCCATAACCTTCAGCAGCCGGTGTGAAATTCCATTGGTGGAAGACATGATACCAATGCATACTCATAGTCAAGAGGGCACCATACCCACACACACACGCACACTCGAAGATCTATTTTTATGTAGTAAATGTCCGAATTTTTTAATTTTTTTTAAAAGGCGTCAGACTGATTCTGTCCTAATACCATTCATGTGAAGATCATTTTATAACAGATATCATATACTCATCTTATTCTTCAAATAAAATGCTATTACTGTTTGAAACTTACAGTTATGTGAGTATCTCTCTGATTTTTCATTGAAAATCAGCTCAAAAATGCAGGATATACGATTTTAAAAGGTTTAATTCTTAAAATTTTCTACCAGACTCCCCAAGAAAGCTCCTACTTTGCACAAGTCTCAAGCCTATGGCACTCACCAGTCCATAGTAAGCCTGAATGAAGCAAAATCCTGGCTACGTGCATGCAGAACTCAAAATTTAACAGTACACCCTTTCTTTTTGACATTAAGCTACTAGTACATCACTAGTTAATGAGTCCTTTATATGCACAAACTCAATATCGGTCCACAAATCTGGCCATTTTACGGATACAGATGCCACTTTACCGACAGAAGGTCACTAGTAGTAGTTTATCCCCACAGTAGTGTAAGCAAATATTGGATGCTATTATTACTATACTACTACATGTAACTACTTTTGGTTGTGTACCTATTATCTTTGGAGGGTGCAACTATTTCTTTTTTGGTGCAAGTCAGTTTTTTTTCATCTGCACCAGTGCCCCCCAAATCTATTTCGACCCCTGCCACTAGTACATACATATACATGTAGGTACAGCTCACCAATAGCAGCTTTTCCCCACACTTCAATCTCAAACTCGTCGTCTGTAGAGTTCTTCTTCTTGTTGAACTTCTTGCCGAAGTCCAAGTCCTTGTTCCAGTCCCAGCTGACTTCCTTCTTCTTGGGAGCGACCGTCTTGATCCTGTTCTTCTCAAACTCCTCCCCCCACGGGTTCCACTCATCCTCACCCCGCTTCTGCTGGGATCTTCTGTTGATGGTCTCCTGGTCTGGTACAAGTAACTTCTCTTTTCCTGGTGAGAAAGTCAAATAGACACAGTTAGTGCTGCATACCGGTTCACTGGACTTGGATCCGGACTTGTAAGAATGTTCAAGTCCAAAAAAACCTAAAAGTCAAGAACCGAGTCCGGACTAATGACCATAAAAGACCATTTCACATACCCCTTTCCTTTCCAAACCACCTAAAACCTTCCGTAGATTGCAAAATCTTTGCTGCAAAATGAAGAAAACATTGCCATTGGGCATCGTCAAGCACCGGCCTCCATGTTATGTGGCCAAAGTTTCACCCAGACAACATTGCAAGGTTGTCAACATACAATTTTGTATATGCCATGGGTTTAGGTCCAGAACTGAACCTAAACCTCTGGACTTGAATCCAGACCTGAACCTAAATGTGGGTTTAGGTATGCAGCACTAGACACAGTGAACTTTTCATAGAATTGCACAAATCATGAGGCATTATTGGTTCACATTGACTTTCAGGCGACCTTTTTGATCTGATGCAAGTAACTTTTCCTTCCTTTCCATAGTGAACTTTTCATACAATTGCAAAAATCAATGAGGGCCTGCATGCCCTTTTCCATAGAGTGTAATCAGTCGTTTTAATTCTACGTAGAGCATAGACGGACCGCTCTAGTTCAACGTAGAGCGTAATAGGCACATTTTGCATAAAGTGTAATTGGCTGCTTTATTTTACGTAATGAGTTGTAGCTACCCGGAATTTATCGTAAAGTGTAATGAGGAGGCTTCTTGGAATTCAGTGCATATATAAGCCGGCTCTCCAAATTTAGCGTAAGGCGTTGTTTGAACCCCCATGCAGGCCCTCTTAAAAGTCTGTTGAGACCTACAGTATTCAAATGCCTGAACATTGTGTATGCTGCTCGAAGCGAACCAGTACTATGACGCAAACCCTTTGTCACCCAACCCCCTATTCACTAACATTCCACAAGCTTTGATTTCTAAACTCCCCAAAACCAGTTTTATCCTGATGTACAATATCACAGATTATCCTGATACTGTGATAGTGGAAGTTGCCTCTACACACCTACTACTAGCATGACTAGTAGTTCTATCCACTCCCAGCCTTGTACTACACCAAAACTGCTTACCGTGAGGACTAGTTTTATCTACATCGCCCTTCCAGTTCCTGGATAGTAGGATATAAGCCGTGTAGAAGGTCAGGAGACAGTAGATGCCGACCGCTACAAGTACAACTCTTCTCACTGTCACTCTCATCTTGCCATTTTTACTGTAGCCGTCTAAAACTGCCTCTAGCCGTGCCTGTTTGAAAAAAACAGACGTTTTGTAAAAACAATTTTCTACAAGATAATCTTAACATCTTAACCCTTTGTTTGTATAAATTTAATATTTATTTTGGTGTTTAAATTATAATACATCTTAGCAATAGTGACTTGTTGATAGATTTAATGTCAAATTTTAGAGGCATAATATTCTTATAGAATAGACAGTCCCAATAGCAGAAGATGTTTGGAATAGACCATTAGAAATTGTAGGGGTGTAAGGTTTAACTCAAAACCATAATAAATTTCTGCAAATTCCTCTTAACCTACTGAAGATTTTTTATGACATTGGAACATAGTTTTCATCTAAGTGTTAATTTTTTATATAGAGAGCGAAGCTAGTGGGAAACATTCAGGACAGAATTAAATATAAGTACTCTATTCAACTCTACTCTAAAGTGGCACAGCCAAATTTCAAGATGGCTTCGCTAGATGTAGAAGGTATCGGTCTCTGCCAGGTTCAAAACGAAGATTTGATCCGGATAGCGGCTACTGTGACGTCTGGTTTGGAGCAGATAGCGAAGGAAGAAGTGGAGGAAAAAGTCGGCACCAAAGTGGTGAAGGGCCGAGGTCGGATACGGTTTGACACTCCCTTCAAAGACTTCGCTCACAAGGTATTTTTCTCCCCCCCCCCCCCCGTGTACACTATATGACATCCAGTACATTTCTAGCGGGGACCAATCATAGGGCTGCTGACGCGTCACCGACTAGCGGCTATTAGCACCTTGTTTCATGTAAATGCTATGAACTCAACCAGAGCGCGTATATTGTTTCTTGTTTACATCAGTACTAAGTACTAGTACTTCCACAATCACTTAGTAAAGTCATACCTTAGTAAAATCTACTTTGATGAACGAATCAAAACGGGACTGTAGACATTAAGTTTTACACATTCAAATGTGGCTGCACTAGCGCTAATGGAGCGACCACTACGTACGGGAAGGAACGGATCTTAGCGAAGCCGAGATTTGTGAAGCAAACCCAACCCATCGAAGACGGGCCGCCAAACATAAAAATGGAGGGAAATGACAGACAACAAGCCAACAAACACAACATCACCAGACCAACAAACTTGGAAAACACCACTTCAAGCGCTAACGTTGTAAGAACTGTGGAACCTCAAACTAGTATGTTTGCGTCAGCGGAAAGGCTGTCGAAGTAACCACTACATAAAAAAACTGCGGCGAAAAAGTAACATGGGTTCGTCCCAAATCTAGACGCAAGTGAGCTACAAAAGTAATAGAACCTATGCATCTTGCTTGTTGCTGTCAACTTACCCGTTAAAGATTGAACCGATACATGTACGTACTATAACTTGCCATACCCGGCCAAAGACGACTACATTACTGTTATCATTGTCATTTCTGTGAAATCCTTAAA